GGGGAAGATGAAGCAGCCAGAGCTGGGAAGCTGGAGGCCCTTGTCGAGGAGGAAAACATCAACAACCAAAATTACAGTCGGGAAGAACTGCCTCCATTTGCAAGTAACTGGGCAATTACCTCATAATTAAGCTCTCATTAATTTGTTTTCTGAGGGTTACAGTATAGTACCCCGTAGGTGTACCCCACCCTGCTTGTCACCAAGGTTTGAAGATTAAATGTTTCACATGAATCAAGGTGGAACTCTTCCATCTGATTAAATATAATAGCCTGATTTACTCCAACATCATGAGGTCTTTAAAGCTATGTCCTTTCATCTTGGGGCACTGGGAGGGATTGCAGGTTTGTGTTTTGAGTCCTGAGTTTCAAGAGAGGAAGAGGAAGTATCAGGAGGGGAAAAGACATGAGAGAACTTTCCAAAAGGTATATCTGTATAAAAGTGCAGAGGTTCCCGGGGTCTGTGTCCATGCTGAATTTGAAACTTCCCAGGTGATCCTAGGAAGACCCAGGTGTGAATATCCTCAGGATGTCTCCTAGGATATTAACAACAATGATAAATGAAGAACACAGACAACTCAAAACACCGCTTCAGCCAATAGTTCCTAAACCTACACCCCACAATCTTTCATTAGCATTAGGCTGGGCAACACTGGATGGTCTTGTGTTTATGCGTCATCCATCTACCGTGGTGATGCAAATCAAAAAATGTTCTAGCCCAGAGGCCAGAAGTCAGAGAAAGAGCATGTTGGTCTACTAATCTACTCCTCGATCATCAAAGCCTTAGTTTCTACACTGTGCTCTCAAAGGTTGTAAATGCTGACTTACACACAGTCTCTTTAACTATTGATAAAGAAGGTGAACATAAGTGATCTTCAGAAATGGTTTATACATGGCTCCCAGGTTCTTGAAAAACCACAAGCGATTGGCAATGTTTCCGTTGTAGACACAAACTCAAAAAAACAATTCATTTCCTTTAAGAGCTCCCTACAGTAGTGGCTGGAAGCCTGACTATAGTAAGGAGGGGAGAAGTCTTCCTCTCCCTTTCTACACATTTCCTTCCCCTTTCTGAGGTCTATATTTTTCTGACACTAAGGAGTCCAGACAAGAGGAAAGAAACTATGGATAAAGCACTTCAAGAAGGGAAATGACCTACTGCCCTCTAACCGTTAAATTACAAGCCTTCCATTTTACTCCTTTCAGGAAGTCTGGGGGCAAAAAGGCAATGAATCACTGTCTTGTAACTTTATTCACTGTGCTTTGGGTAAATGCACACTGGGTGGGGGAGAGGGTTCCTACTCACCAAGGGTCCTGCTAGATTATGATTTGGAAAAGGTGGCAGTGGTTCACTTAAAATAATAGTAATAGGTCCTTCCTGGTGGTTCAACGGGTTATTACGCAGCACTGCAAATAGCCATAGCTGCTTCAGTGCAAGTTCGAGTCCTCGCCTTGGAGTTGATCCACCTGGTGCTGCAGACTTCTCCTGTGTTGCTTGCTGCTCCTCTTAGCAGTGTATTTCGTTGATCTGCCTGTTCTGCTCCCCACTCTGTCTCTGGTGAAGCCTCTCATGCCCCTGCACCTTTGGCCTGTACCCCAGCTCTGTGTGCATAAATAAATAAATCTTTACAGTCATACTCCATTTCCTCTATCTCCTACCCCAGCTCAGTTCTAAGGCAACCACTAATCTACTTTCTGTTTGTATAAATAATCCTTTGTGACTTAACCCAACGTAATCTTTTCAAAGTTTCTGTCATCTCATGAGTCATTCTTCACTGCTTTTTATGACTGAATAATATTCTACTGCACAGATATACATTTTCACCAGCAATATGATAGTTCTAATGTTTCTACTTTGTCATTATTATTATGTGTTTTAGATTTTTTTCCCATCCTCATTGGTATAAAGTGTATTTCACTGTTTTTTTAATTTTCATTTTCATGATGGTTAATGATTTGGGCATCTTTTCATGTGCTTGCTGGACACTTGTGTACCCTCTTTGGGTAACTAACTATCTGCTCAATTTTTAATTGGGTTATTTGCCTTATTTAATATTGAATCATAAGAGTTCTTTATGTATTTTACATAAAGTCCCTTATCACATGTATGATTTGCAAAAATGTTCTCCCTTTCTGTTGATTTTCCTTTTCCTGAAGAGTATCTTTTCACTTCCTGATGTCCTTTCAGGTATAAATGTCTTTAATCTTAATAATGGCCAATAATTGTCTAGGTTTCCTTTTTGTTGCTTGTGACTCACACTTAGAGAAAATGGCTAAAATACCACTTGACACTTTAGAAAACTTTGAGACCTCAAGTTTGGTAAGGATTTTTGGGTCACTTTTAGGGGGATTCTCCGTGTTTGGCATTTCATTCCCCAGTATCAGCAATCCCTGGCTCCATCCAGCTGGAAGCACAGAGCCCCAGAGCACCTTCATGGTGTCTACAGCCCTGCCCTCTCCTGAGGTCCCCACAATAGAACAGCTGAAATGACAGTTTGGAAATGTCCTTTATTATGAAAACTCAATGGCTTTTGTCTCTGGGATTTGAAATTTCAATGCCAACTGTTGGCAGTTTAGGATAGAAGAGGGAAGAAGAAATCCTGCCACTAGTTGCCCTCTGAATCATCTCAACTCTCTGCTGTTTTGGTTTTCTCACCCATAAAAATGGGGAGAAAGCTTCCACCTTCCTATTTCAGGGGACACTGGTGAATTAATCTGTATTTGTTGGAACACTTTGAGATCTTGGATTAAAGGCATTACTGAGGTAACAAACTATTATTATAATAATAAATGATTTAATAGCTGGGAGCATGAGGCCGCTAAAGTAAGAATCCATAGGGGTAAGGAGAAGAGAGACTCTCAGCTGTGCAGGGCCTGGGCCCACACACAGATTTTGATTCCTTGTGATGTACGATCTCTCACAAACTGGCTTAATCATCTTTACTGAGTGCTTCCTACATGGCTTCTCCATAGCATCACATTTTAGGAAATAAACTATGAACATTAAAACAAAGAGAAACAAAAAAAAAAAAAAAGAAACAACGCAAGGCATTATAGTCAAGTGCTGAGCTGAATATAATAAGTGTCCAAAAAACAACACAGGATAGTGTTGAAGCACAGCGTTCTCCCGTTAGTCCCAGGTCTAGCACTGCTCTGTGCTATTGATCCAGTAAGGGCTTAGAATAATGGTTAGCACATGGTAAGCACAAAATGTTGGCTTAGTCTCTTGTCAGCCCTGCTTTTGCTGGTTATGTAATCTAGGCCATATTGCTAGTTCCCTCTCGACTTGGTTATGCTATCTGTACATGGTGATAAGGGCACTCACCAGCTTACAAGGCTGCTGTATGGGACAATGTAAATGGCACAGCACAGGGCCCCACAGGTGAACAATCACTACGTGATTATTGTCATTAACACTATTACCTGTCCTGGCTGACGCATGAGTGGTGACCTCACTAATAGCTTAGTTAAGTCCAGGGCCTTCTTTGGAAGTTGGAATTTGAAGCGGCACAGAGGGAATTGATGGGATTCCTGCGATCAGAGAGGAAAGCCATTCAAGGAGAGGGGAGGTCTGAGAATGGACTGCCCTCTGGAAGCAGGAGGTACTGGGGCTTTGCACCTTTTCCTCCAGTTGGGAGCCGGGCCGGCTGGCTCTATCAGGTAAAGCCGCAGCGGCTGTTTACCTCCAAGCCCCCTTCCGCAAACTCAGCTTTTCACCTTACCAGAGGCTGGGCGAGCGGCAAGGTTGCAGCACCGCCCCACCTCCCCCTACCCGCCCCCCCGCCGGAGGAATGTGGGTCCCGCTTCCTGGGCCGCAGTGGCGGGGCGCCTTCCTCTTCCCGCGCAGTCTGGCGCGGAGAACTCACTCTGTCTTTACCCCACCCTTACCAGGATCCAGTTTCAAAGTCACCTCGAAGCCATCTTCTCCAGCCCGGCTCCTCCCCTCCCCTCCCAGAAGCTCACCCGAGGCTTGTATTTGCCTGCAGCACCTAATTTTTTCTTCGTTTGTTTTGTTTTTGAGGTGAACTCTATAAACCGTTTACTATACACACTTGTCTACACCCGGATATCAAATATATCCAGTGTTAATCAGTGTCCCATCCTCCTCCCAAGAAGTGGTGAGAGATAACGTGTAACCCGTGAGCCCTCTTCAGGAGTCCCACCTGGGTTTCTCTCCCGTGTGGCGCAGGGACAGCGTTCTCTTTTTCAGGGCTTTGTACTCTCTGGTTCAAAATCCAGCCTGTCCATGTTGAGTGTCCCTCCCCCCCACTTTCCGGGCATGTACCTTTCCATGCCGTGTGACCTCATACAGATGGCAGGCAGGTTGTCGTCACCCTACAGAAATGGGGTACTCTGTTAAGATACAGGTTTCTGCATCTTGCTTCCCCCCTTAACGGTAGCTTGGTGGAGTTGCCTCCCACTAATCGGCCACTTCTGCGCTCGGGTTTGCTTCAGCAGTGGGTCACCTGGTCCGATTTCCCTGAGAACTCAAGACGTGCCCTTCTGACTCAGAAAGCGAGGTGACCTGCTCACAAATCGGACCCCAACGAACGCCGCTTTCTAAAGCCCCATTTCCTGTGCGTACAGTGGGGTGTTCGGGTCGACCGATGCCCTCTCTGTTGTTAACAGGATGCCCCCCACCACGTGCGGTTTTGTGTCTCGGGGCGCTTGGGCGGCCGCTAGCTTCTGCCGGGCCTCCAGCGCCGCCAGCGCGCCCCACCTGCGGGGTGTTAATCATTAGCCGCGCGCCC